TATCACGCCATCTCTTCTATCTCTGTATTTTTTTAAGCTTATTCAGGGTTCCCACGGTCATGTAAATCCTGGAAAATCATGGAAATTGAAAATGTAATTTTCCAAGCCAGGAAAAGTCATGGAATTTTGTAAATTCAATGAAAGTTTTGGAAAAGTCATGGAATTTTAGTATCTCTTTCACGCAACTACATCGTTCTGTTAAGTTATCATTAGCCTATTATGATTATTTCCGAACGTGTACACCTTTTGTTTAAAAGAGATGACAATAAATGCACTGACAGTATTTTGAATGTTAAAAACGATAATACTAAACCATAAGGTGAGTGGAAAGGATTAACATTTCATATTTAGCCTTAAAAGTCTAATCAATTCTACACATATACGGTGCCGGAAAGTCATGTAAAATTCACTTTAGGTTATGAAAAAGAGTTTAGAGTTGTATTTATTTAATGAGACAGGGACAGTGTATAATCTACATCAGGGGTCTTCAGCCTGTAGCTCAGGAGCTACCAGTAGTTTTCCAACCCCTTCCAAGTAGCTCCCCAAAGGATTCCTGAATTACACATATTGCGCTGAATAACTCAGATTTGCTTGATTAAATGTCTATTTCCTTGGTAAATGTATCATTTTGATGCCTAAATTTGTGCACTGATAACTGATAGTGGGTTATGTACCTCATTTTCGGCTTACCTTGGCTCTTGTATTTACAACATTTCTTGCGACTGCTAAAATGAGTAGCTCTCTGGTATTTTAGTTTTACAAAAAGTAGCTCACAGGAAGAAAATTTGGAGACCACTGATCTACATTAACCTTAACAGGAGAGATGTATCGTACCAGGTTGTAGCACCAGTGATAAATTCCACCTGTCTTCCCTGGACAGGTTGATTGATTGATTGATTGTATTTTTATTGACCTTAGCTATCAGCTCTCAGCTATTCTTCCTGGAAACCTACGGTATGTTAGCCAGGGTGACGCCATCTAGTGCCTCCGCTCAGTTTCATTTCTCTCTACACTAGACGGTTTGCAAGAAGCCTGAAAGTGCGAGTTCGGGCATCAGCCAATCAGCGAAGAGCCATACAATACATTCTGTTTTGGCAACGATTCCCGAGATCGAGGGTTTAAAGTCGGAATAAAGACAATGTTTGGTGAATTTTATCAAGTGGAAAGACGATATTGCCCTTCTTCCTACGGGATTTGGGAAAAGCTTAATATACCAGTTTGCCTCTTTAGCGGCACATTACATACGTCGTGACCAAATAGCAGCGATTGGTTAATTAAATATAAAAAAGTACCAGCCTACCGTCGAGCGAACGAATCCTAATGCTGCAAGGTCAGACAGTTTCCATGACGTGAAATTGACTGATGAATCAGGCTAACAGTATGTAGCATGTCATGGAAAAGTTTAGAAATTTTGTCAGTGAAAAAGAGTGGGATCCCTGCTTATTGATCATCTATCATTTTTAGCAAGGTCTAATTTCTCTCACCTCAAATTAACCGTGTTTGGTGCTTCACTCATTGATATTTTGCAGAACTCCACAATGTTTGTCACTCTGATATTTGTTTCCTCCTTTTTTCCCCTTTTTCTTTTTTTCTTTTCATTTTCTTCTTAAGTGGGCATATTTGTTCATATATCTTCATAAAGTATTGGATCCCAGGCAATTAAAATCATAGTTGCAAACTTGGTCTACGTGATTAATCACAATGGAATTTGGATAGTTGGAAATTAGCAAACCGCAAAGGCTGTAGTTTTTTTAAGTACCATCATTTCCTTCACACAGAAAAAACAAAACATCCTGTCTTATTTTGCATAAAAAGTGCTAATTTCGATCTGTACAAACATGTGCTGAAATGTAATTCTTGTATTTGTTTGTCAGTTCATATTTCAGTGTTTTTGTCAGTTCTCCTGGACAGAATCCTAAAACATAAATGCAAATGTCTTTCTAATTGCCACACTAGTCAGAACAAACGTCATTAGATATTTTCCCCAAATCGTTCAGCTCTACTGGAAACTGGTGGTGTGCAAAAATATCAAAATATCCTGAAATTTTGTGATACAGTGTTGTTATCATGACCTACTGTATTTTTCGATGGTTTTTAGCAGTTTTTTGTGACCTCATAAGTGTTTTGTTGCTTATTTAGTCGAAGGAAAATTGTTGTATGGAACACACTTGATGTATTCATTGTTTTGTTAATTAAAATAGATGTATTTAACTTTGTAACTTTGTACAACAAAGGAATATTGTTGCTAAAATCTATTTGGTTCTTTAAAAACAGTAAAATATCAGAGTATCAAGTGCAATATATTGATTGTCACCTGTATTGTCATATTGTGATATTATTGTGTTCCCAGCATGCAGTGTTGGGAAGGTGACTTTTAAAATGTGTTCCCCTACAGATTATAGATTATATACCCCAAAATGTAGTTTGTAACGTAATCTATTAAATTACTTAAAGTGAGTAACGTAATCTGAAAACTTTGGATTACTTGGTTTGCTGTAGAGAAGCAAAGACGAGGATATCGTAACATAAGATGTTTTGTCAGATAAAAGAAAATAAAAAGCCCAGACTTTACTGAACCAAATTAAAAATATTATTGATAGAAGAGGAGGAGACACGGTCCACACAGCATGATTTAGTCCTGTTAAATCCTGTTTGAGACATAGTTTAGTCCTGGTTTAGTCCTGGTTTAGTCCTGGTATCTGGTTAGATCTGGTTTGGACCTGGTTTAGACCTGATTTAGACCTGGTTTTAGACCTGGTTTTAGACTTAGTTTTAGACCTGGTTTAGACCTGGTTTGGACTTGGGTTTAGACCTGGTTTAGACCTGGTTTAGACCTGGTTTTAGACCTGGTTTAGATCTGGTTTTAGACCTGGTTTAGACCTGGTTTTAGACATGGTTTTAGACCTGGTTTTAGACCTGGTTTGGACTTGGGTTCAGACCTGGTTTAGACCAGGTTTAGACCTGCTTTAGACCTTGTTTAGACCTGGTTTAGTGTCCGGCAATGAGTGAATTACCGAGAAAAAAAAAAAAGGGATATAGCCAAAATGTGAAAACAGGAAAATACCGTTGTGTAATCAGTTTATTTCAACAAGTAACTGTAATCCAATTATCACTCACTTAAACAGTAACTGTACCCGAATACAGTTACTCATAATTTGTACTCTGGTGACGTAACTCCGGTACATGTAATCTGTTACTCCCCAACACTGCCAGCATGTGATTCCCAGCCCTATTGCAAACCACACACAGTATGTTTAGTCTGTTCTTAGATGGAAAATTGGCCTTTAGCCTGTACACTAATTAGAAATGTAACAATATCCAAATCTCTCTATACCAGGAGTCTCCAACCTGTAACTTGGGAGCTACCAGTAGCTCTCTACCCCCTTCCAAGTAGCTCAACAAGGGATTTCTGAATTACACGTATTGTCCTGAATAACTCAAATTTGATGAATTAAATGCCTGTTATTATTGTAAATCCATCATTCATAAATAATACATAAAACATAAACCATTATTTATCTAACTGTACCCCATCTAAGTCTTGCCATGGCTCTTATGTATACTTTATTTCCTATGACTGCTAAATTTAGTAGCTCTCTGGAATTTTTGTTTTGTAAAGGTAGCTGACCCAAGGAAAATGGTTGGAGACCCCTGCTCTATGCGATATTTTCACAGTAACCATCTCACAGTACAATATTTATTGCAATATTTTATGAAGGCTAACACAGTTGTGAATACTCCTCCGTCATCATCCAAATAATTAAGATTTAAAAGTTGTAGATTTCTGTTGTATCTTCCAAACAGGCGCAGAGGCACAGAGATCATACTGCAGTACCTTTCATTTTACAGCATGGATTAACAGCATCAGGGTGACATACAGGCACAAAAAAATAATAATTAGAGTCTGTAAGTGTCTAGCAAAGAGTTTCTGAGGGTCTGAGAGTCTAATCAAGTTTTGTATTTTATGATGTTAGGTTCTTTTTTCAGACCAGGAGTTTGTTTTCATACCTGACAGTTTCGACTGCTCACTAGTGCTCTTCCTCAGATTGGTCACGCGACTTTGCTGTGATGTGTCCAGTCAGCTGATTTATACAGGTTTTGGCGCTGTCTTCCTACCAGTGGAGGCAGGACGACAGCTGACCGGACATGTCACAGCAACATCACGTCCTGTCATGTATGAAAACAAACTCTTCATCTGAAAAAAGAACCTAATAAGTGTGGCCATACCAGCTTGTCAAAGCCTGATCCTGTCAAATCTCAGAAGCTACAGAAGCTAAGCAGTGCCAGGCCTGGTTAGTACTTGGATGGGAGACTACTGGGAAACTCAGGAGCCATAGTGGGGCATCAGTGTCCTTAGGCAAGACACTTCACCCACATTGCCCAGTCTGAAATTGGCCTGTGCGTGAGTGATGGTGTTGGTCAGATTGGCGCAGATTGGCAGCCTCTCTTCTGTCAGTCGGTCCCAGGGCAGCTGTGGCTACACTATCTTGAAAGGCGCTATATAAATGCAATGATTGATTCATTAATAACATAAAATATTGTAAGACCAAATGAACCTCATTGAACAAGTTTTGTATTGTCCATTCATAAATGTTATCTTTAACTGATAGTTTTTCCTTGAGAAGCGTCTGGAATTTCTGCAGCTTCATGAAAAATTATCAAGCAAATTAGCAAGCAGCATCCAAGGTCACTGAGCAGAACATTTCACACTTTAACTGTAACAAGCATTAAGTATGAAATGAATACAATGAGATTATTGCTCACAGAATGTTTAATAGGTGTTATTTGATCATGTAGACTGGACCGAAACAGAGCAAAGAATCATGGTCTGTGTAGTTCTGTTTTTAGATTTTGCTGCTCCATAACAATGACAAAAACAAAAACAAACTTGTAATTTGATATATTGTGATGACCCACTGTATTATTGTGAGACTTTTGACAATACAACATCATGATTTTCTTACATTCCTAATTCTAACCGACTCTGCTCTGTGTTTCAGCTGTGAAGACTGTAGTGGAGGTGCCAGTGGGGAGTCGCTTTCTCAGAGTCAGCTCCAAAGGACCGGCCACAATGAGTGAGTGATCGTTTACACAAGAGCACAATCCACAGCACCCTTCAAATAGCACCCTTCAAATCAACCAGCACCCACATAGCGCACCATGAGGAGACTTGAAGCTGCTGTACAGTCCCCTAAATATGACCTACATGAAGCTGTGTTGCATGGAAAAAGATTACCTTGATTAAATAAACAGCGTAAATGTATACAGTCTGATGAGATAAGACGACATTGTTCCCACACGAAAAACATCTAATCAAAGGGCGCAATATAGAACACAACCACAGACTGGGCATAGAAATGAACAGAGCTAACCTGCAGATTGCCGTGATCCAGTTAGAGTGTGAGCATGGGTGTGGTTCTGGCTCCATCGGCTCTGGCTTCGATTCATACGCTATTGAGAAACAGTTGTCCCTCTCTCCGTAACTGCTGCTGTCAGGTTTGTCATTTTGGTCGTAAAATGTTCGTATTAATCCAGTCTACATGATCCTGGGGTTTTTATTTTGCGATTTTATCCCCAAATCAAGACATAAACATTAATAACAGACCAATGAGTTGCTCTCTTTGGCTGAATTCACTCCCACCAACTTTGCACCTGCCCCCTGCTAAATCGTAGTTGCAGGTAGGAAGGGGGCGTTGCCTTCTATAGCGTCGCTCCTGATTGGCTCTTTGGTCGCAAAGATACTTGCGGTCGGAATTGTAAATAAGCAACTCGGTCGTGATTTTGACTGTCGTACCAGTTTGAGCTTTTGGGGGCTGAGTGAAACAATCGAAAATATTGCACAGTGTACGTCTGGCATTAGTCCACTTCTTTATAGGCGAGTTTCAGCTGACATACATGCACATCAATAACCTGGTTATTAGCCATACCCCGGTTATGTCAGTATTCGGGTTACTGCGTTTACATGCGCACTGAGAAACCGGGACACTCATATCCACGTATATATATGATCAAATGGAGTATCCCGGTTTCTTGACATAATCTTACAAATGCGCAGGCGCAAAAATTAACTTAAATCAATTTAATAAACCAGGAAAAATACAAACCGTGAGCTCCTTTAGCATAAGAAGCTAAGGAGCTACGAGATCTCCCACAATCCACTGTGCAGATTCTTCATTAAAATCTTCTGCATAAATAAACTCAACTTTACAACATATAAACCATAAAGACTATAGAGCCACATCAGCCCGTTTGATCAGATAATTCAGCTGTGATCACATTTGTTTACGTTTTACAGAAACGAAACTTAAGACCGTTTGGCTAATTAGCATAAACTGTTAGCGGCGATAAAAACAACTCGCTCCTTGTGCCGCTGATGTGATCAGTTTCTTTTGGACTAAATGACACGACTCTGTGGATTATGTGTGTTATTTCTGTGACAGAAGAGGCGCTAATGATGGTAAGTGTGTTCCGTGCATATAGAGTATAGGAGATAGTTCATGTTTTAGCTTTTCAGCGTCACACGAGTGCAGGTCGTACGAGTGCAGATTGTACGTGTGCAGGTTTAGCGCAGCTCTTTATTTTACAGTCATTTCACTCGTTTGGTCACTTTATTTATGTTGGTCAATTTATTTATGTGACTACTGTTGTGGTGAAAGGCTGGAAAGTGTCTTTTGGACGCATGCGCACTCAACTTTATGTTGCAGTAACCGGGGTACTGCGTATACATGCCACAAGTAACCCGGTTACTATCGGAATAAACCAGCTACAGTAACCCGGTTTCTAATAACCGGGATACTGCCATAACCGGGTTACTGAAACCGGGTTACTGCGTATACATGCACCATCAAGAAACCGGGATACTCAAAAAACCCGATCATAACTGGGTTATTGATGTGCATGTAAACGCACTCATTGTTATTAAAAGCCCGCGTTGCATGCTGGGAAATATTTTGGTCGGAGGCAAGAAACACGACAGCGGTCAAACACAGTGCGTAACCTCGTGTATTTATCCCCGATAATGGTAAATTCCTCTTGCATTATCGGATGCACAAATAGAAGCACAGAAGAAGGAAAATGTCTTTCGTATTCCGAGTGAAAAGAACCGCTAACGGCGAATTAAACGGCTTTCAAACATTCGCAGAGCAAACGTAGAAGATCCTAACAAACCGTGGACTCCAACAAGTTCAACAAAACATCGAGACTCTTGGAGGTTTTCATCTTTTCTGCTGTGAATGGCCCAGGAGTTTCCAACCAAGTCATTGTGGATATCGCAGAAGTGAATATTTGTCCAGGTTAGTTGGCGATTCAGACCAGAAAGAAATTTGGTTTGGTCCACCTTTTGTACGGGTTGAAAAGGGTGATTTGTCGTCCATCGATGCTTATGACCAACTTCTGGTCAAATCGTCTTCAGTCCTCTGCCGTTAAAGTGGATAAATAACCAGGATCAATACCCTTTACGTGCTTTCTCGCTCCGTCCGTCATGTGGAATTAGTGTTTCTTGCCGCCGACCAAAATAATTCCCAGCATGCAACGCGCGCTTTTGTCAACAATGAAACTCGCCTATAGGCTCTATGAACACAACAGCCAAACATCACCATCAGATTCATACATAATCACAATGTAAATAATCCATTTTAGTTGAGCGCCAGATATACACAATACTGGGAAATAGTTTCGAACTCAACTTATTCCTTTTTCCATTTAACGTTGCAAATACTTTCAAGTTTTTGAAAAGACCATTTTTCTATCCCTAAATGCAACATGCAGTTAAAATAGAGTGTTTTAACCTTTAACCTTAAGTTTCGTCTGCTTTTGTTGTTATTCAGCTACAGCACAGTGTATCAAGGACATCATATAGGTAGATAATACTTTTTTTTAAAAATTAATGTATATATGTCCTTGCATCTACAGTATTTTGAAATCTACTGTTGAATTGTTGATACAGTTTGCTGCGGAACTGACTTTTCCGACTTCCAGAACTCCAAAAGTGTTTAAAGTTTGTGCAGACGCCAGACACAGACAGAAGGTCTGGAGCTGTGATTGACAGCTGTCAGAACACAGAGAGGACCTTATCCTCTGACTTTTACCAGGTCCAAGAAAATAAATCAAACTTATCATCCAGCTGACAACAACATGTCAACTTTACTTTTAATATCTTCAAACTTTTAAAGCTTCAGTGTGCAACTTTTCCGGTGGAGTTTATGTTTTATCTGGTTTCTCACTGAGATATTTTTGCTTTGTTCCACATGATTAAACTTATATATCTTATATTTATTCATTTACAGGTGTCCATGGAGATATGTTTAAAGGTTCTATATTACGCAAAATTGACTCTTGTGAGATTTAAGCCATGTTATAATGCTGTGACCTCAACAAAACATACCTGGAGTTGTGTTTTGTTTCATTCAAATATGTTGGAGTATCCCTGCCAGAGTCCTGCAAGTGTCCCGCACCTGCCCACACCCGAGCAGTTCAGCACCGCACTCGCCCGTTAACCAGTGATTATACCAAAGTTAAACTCGCACCCGTCCGGACCTGTTAACATCAGAATATGAATTGAAAAGTTACGACTTCAAGAATTACAATCGCGAAATGAAACAGTTACGCTTTCTTCAGTACGAATACGAATTCACAGACGCGACTCGACTGTCATCACTTCACAGGCTTTATTTACTGAGCAGAAGAAACACGCCACGGACTAAACCAGGACTAAACCAGGACTAAACCGGGACTAAACCAGGACTAAACCAGGACTAAACCAGGACTAAACCAGACTGAACCAGAACTAACCCAGGACTAACCCAAGACTTAACCAGGACTAAACCAGGACAAACCAAGGACTAAACCAGGACTAAACCAGGACTTAAACCAGGACTAAACCAGGACTAACCCAGGACTAACCCAAGACTTAACCAGGACTAAACCAGGGACTAAACCAGGACTAAACCAGGACTAAACCTGGACTAAACCAGGACTAAACTAAACCAGGACTAACCCAAGACTTAACCAGGACTAAACCTGGACTAAACCTGGACTAAACCAGGACTAAACCAAGGACTAAACCTAGGACTAACCCAGGACTTAAACCAGGACTAAACCAGGACTAAAACCAGGACTAAACCAGGGACTAAACCAAGGACTAAAACCCAGGACTAAACCAGGACTAAACCAGGACTAAACCAGGACTAAACCTGGACTAAACCAGGAACTAAACCAAGGACTAAACCAGGACTAACCCAGGACTAAACCAAGGACTAAACCAGGACTAAACCCAGGGACTAAACCAGGACTAAACCAAGGACTAAACCAGGACTAAACCCAGGACTTAAACCAGGACTAAACCAGGACTAAACCAGGACTAAACCAGGACTAACCAGGACTAGGACTAAACCCAGGACTAAACCTAAACTAAACCAGGACTAAACCAGGACTGAACCAGGACTAGGACTAAAACCAGGACTTAAACCAGGACTAAAACAGGACTAAAATAGGACTAAACCAGGACCAGAATTGAACCAGGACTCACTGTCGGGAAGGGCTCAGAGGTGCGCCCACATAGACCGTCGGGTGACCGCAGGTGAAAGGACTGGCAGCAGAACTCCTTGCCCCAGGGAGGTAACGACAGCTGTCGCCTGATCGCGCTTTGCGGACACTCTGCTACGCGGGCTTGTGGTTCTCTCTCTCTTAAGTCCAAGATTAGACCTGGTTTAGACCTGGTGTAGTCCTAGTTTAGTCTTGATTTAGTCCTGACCTGTCCGTAAAATTCCACAACATTAAAACCCGCCTGTTTCAGCAACTATTTTCCCGTCCCCTTCGACCCGGTGCAGGACTCTGATCCCTTCATTAGCTATTCCAGGGTGTGTGGAGTTTAAAAACACAGTGGAGCAGTGTTTTAGACATGAACAAATTAACCAAAAGAACTCTGGGTATGCTTTTGATGAGATGTTTTGCATTATATGGACCATTTAATGCGTGTGGAACATCCAGTGGAAACAGCCAGTTACATTTGCCCAATATTTACCCGACCACAACCAGACTGAAATAATAATTAGTTAAAAATAAAAATAAAAATGTG